TTGGTTTACAGATGCTCAACTCACGATTCACCATGTAGACAGGTAACTAACATACAGAGTAGCCACCATCGAATATACAGTATTCAACCCCAACAAGCACAGAGAACATACAGGAACAACCAGGAACAAAACAGTAGATTAAAGCCACAGCATCCAATCATATCTCACTTGAACATTATGATTACATCCCTAACAGGCTTGCATAATACATTGTGGTTTTCTGACACAGTGGTATTTATACAGTGCTGACAACAGTGCTGACAAGAAACTATTAACACTCTTAATGTTTAGGAAACTTAAACCATTAATAATTTAAAAAAGAAAAGGTATTATATCAATATCAGTGAGTTCAAGTGTTGACATAGCCATGGAAGTCAGCTGTGTGACCTTCAGCCAGTCACTCTCTCTCAGCCCAACTCGCCTCACAGAATTACTGTTTTGGGGAAAATAGATAAATATTATATATGTTCCCTACCTTGAGTTAATTGTAAAAACAATAAAGGCGGGATATAAATAAAAAATAAATAAATATAAACTGATTTAAAATGTTGAGATTAATAAACATAAGATAATTTAGCATTTACAATTGAAACTGGATATAGCATTAAGAAGCAGCTGTATATTACAACAAGATATTTGTTGTACAATAAAGATTTTTGTCTTCAGTTGATTACAAAATACTAAAATCTCCATTGTATTGTTACTTGTTTAGGCTTGTTGAGAAAACAAAAAAAGACAAAGAAAAATAGGCAACAGAAATAAAAAAAGAAAAATAATAGAAAATAAAGGCTGCTTGGTTTTTAATTTCCTTTTTATGATGCTTAGGCTAATTTACAGCATTTATCAACATTTAAACCCCCGTAGAAGCCAAACTATAAATCTGTCATGCTGTATGATATATTGTATGTATGGGAGCCATTCTTGTTTAAGTTTGATTAAACATCTATTGGGAATATAGTTAATTTGACTGGAGAATTGCAACTCAAAATAAGAGATAAGAACAAATAAGGAAATATATCTTCATTTTGATTCTTGAGATTCTTGAGATGAAATTAAATAGAATTCGCAGTGTTATATAAAACAAAGTTATAACTGTGTTACCTGTGAGAAGCAAAAATACAAATTCAACAAAGGCAATATCCTAATTAGGATAACTGAGATGTTATAGTACAGTATTGGCAAACCTTTTTGGCACTGAGTGCTGAAATGGGAGTGTGCATG